CATGTCCTTGCTCTTAGCAAGTGCTAATCCCTCAGGTTTTTGCAGAAGCCCTTCTAGCTATCCTTCACCCCTCTTGTGCCTCACTATGCCTATGAAGTTTTATCACTAGTCTTCTTCTACTGGGTTATAAGGGTATCACTTAGAAAGGTGTTTATTTTAAGTAGCTGAAAACCTGATACACAGGTGCTAACTGTAGTGTGACTCAGTAGCTCACAGCTCACATATTCATTCCTGACTTTTTCCTCTTGGCAGTTGTGTAGCCATTGTAGCTCCTATCATCACATCCAGGTTCAAGACAAATCATCAAATTAAAGGCTTTAGCAGAGAGTCTCATGGTCCAGAATGGTATCCAGTGGCTACTCCTTGTTTTAAGAGAGTCAGAGAACATAGATTTCTTTCCTGGGACAGAGTCTTGTTGCTGCTTTATAGAGAACCAAGGTAATGTAAGCAGAGAAGAAGGTAGATAGTGTGGAAGATGAGCAGTGTTTGCTAGTGTCCTGGGGAGCAGAGAGACCACGAATTAATGTCTTTCAGGTTCCCAGAATCTAAATGCTCAATATTATTGCTTTTTGTTTGCTTATTGTTTTTTGGGGGGGGTGGTCTTTGAGACACTGTTGCCCCACTTGGCCTGGAACTCGCTGTGTAGACCAGGCTGGCCTCAAACTTACAGAAATCCAGTTGCCTTTTCCTCCCAAGTGCTGGGCTTAAAGGTGTGTGCCACCATGCCCAACTTTTATTGCTTTCACTTTGATTAGCTCATTTTTGTTTGTTTTTGTTTTTTCGGGGGGAAGGGTCTTTCTATATCCTAAGCTGGCCTTGAATTCATGATTCTCCTGCCTCAGTCCCTTAAGTGCTAGGATTATAGATGTGAGCCAACATGCCAAGATTTTGTAGTGGTTTTATATGTAGTCTTCCAAGCTTTCTTCTGCATGCATCCAGATCTTTCTATTTTTTTCAGATCATACTACTGTACTTTATAGTTATTAATCTCCTTTTCACTTATGGTGACATACCTCACCCACATAATTTTAAATGGTGTATGTTAGTCTGTTTTGAAGACAGAATTCATTCAGCCATTTCCCTATAATTAAGCCTTCAGATTGTTTTTAATATTTTGCAGTCATAAACAGCTCCGTGGATAACTTTCTAAGTCTATCTTTATGAACATTGATAGCTAATATCTTAGGACACAGTTTTAGATTATGCTGGGTTAAAGGATGTATTGACTACTAAAATATTTGTGCTGGTTACCAGATTAACTCAGGAAAGTTGTGGCAGTTAAATACACCCTCTGGGAGTTTCTGAGAGTGTGTGTTCCTTCACAGCTTTGGATTTTATTATTTTGTGTTGCTGAGGATCACCCTCAGGGCCTCACATATTCTAGACAAGAGCCCTACTATTATGTTTAAGATCTTGCTGATTTGATAGGAAAATTACTCCAAAGGGGAAGGAAAAAGTAGTTTGCATCTTCCTTGATTACAGTGACGTTAACCTTTAAAAAGAATATACTTGGCCATTTGTAGTTCTCTCTCTTTTTTTTTTTTTTTTTTTTTTTTTTTTTTTTTTTTTACAAAAAAAAAAAAAAAAAAAAAAAAAGAGGACGATAAATCTTTCACTGTGATATATCAAAATAAGCTGGCCTTGAACTCACAGAGATCCACCTGCCTCTGCCTTCCGAGTGCTGGGATTAAAGGCATGCGCCACCACGCCTGGCTGTAGTTCTCTTTTTCAAAAGATCTTTTTTTAAAAGATTCCCCTAGGCTGACTGACCAGTGGGCTTTAGGGATCCTCCTGTCTCCATGTACCTGCCGCCCCCACCCCCAGTACTGAGATTACAGGCATGTGCCATCATGCCTGGCTCTTTACGTGAGTGATGGAGATACAAATCATGTTCTCATGCTTGTGTGGCAGGCACCTTACCAACTGAGCTTTTTCTCCAACCCTAATATGCCTCTTTTTATTAGCCATTCTCAGAGTCTCCACACATGTTCACTTAACCCATCCCCCTTTTGAGACATGCTATGTAGCTCAGGCTAGCCTGGAACTTGCAGTGACCCTCCTGCCTAGCCTCCCAATTACCAGGATTACAGGAATGAGCCACCATGCCCAGCTCTGCCACTTGACAGCTCATTGGTGAGTGCTTAGTCACATGACCCACGCTCCTAGGAAATGTAGTCTATTCACTAGCCACTGAGTGCAGTGCTACTTCAAATACAATGGGGTTTCTGTTACCAAGAAGGGAAATGGAGTTAGCTGTCAGCAACTTCACTGACTTTCTTTCTTTTGAAACCTGGTGGCTAAGCCACAGCCACTTGGTGTTCCTACTCTTGGCTTTCATGGATGGAAGCCTGTCTGTGCCTGGCAGGCTTCTTTCCCAGCTCTCCTGCCTTCCTGGTGGGTTGACTTCTCCATCTTCTTCTTTATCTCTTTTCCTAATAGAATTGTTTTAAGCTCCCAGAGTTTTATGGAGGGTAGGAACAAAAGAGGAATGACTTGGGAATGTTTACAGAAAGCTCTGTGCCTACCCCATGTCCGTACTCTGTGCCACCCTCCTTGGTCAATTTGTCCCATGGGTGAGATTGAGGATAAGGATTTCTCAGGAGTAAGATTCAGAGGGGTCAGGATAGCCCTTGGAGACTCAGACCTGGGTCCAGTCCTTTCCATGCCTGAGGCTTGGTAACCTCATCCATGAGAATTACATCAGAGAGGTGGTTAAGTTGAGCAGGAGATGGTGGGGTCTGATTGTGCATACTTGGGAAAAGCCTTATAGAGACCTTCCCTGTGGGAGGTGGAGAGCCAGGCTACCTTTCTTGTTGGCCCATCTGTGAACCCTGCCTTTGGGCAATACTTAGAGAGTTCCTGTGACCTCTAGAATGGGTCAGCCTGATGGAACTGAGCCAATGGCTAGGCCAGGGTCCACCATAATTCACCCACAGTCTTAGTTTCAGCATAAACAGGGAGGCACAAACCACCAGAGAAGAGGTCAGTGAGGCCAGTTATTTCTGTGTCTACCCAAGTGAGCAGCTCTCTCCAGAGAGGCCCCATGCAGCCACGCTTCTCAAATGGGATGCTGCGCCCCCTTCCTCTTGCCCTGGCAATTCCAGAGTTAGCGTACCATCAGGCTGGCTGCCCATAGATACAGATCTTGTGACCTCCAGGGCAGAGCCTCTGAATCCCAGGTACATGAGGGCATCTCAGTGACTGGGTATCATGAGGACCTGTGGGTCTTTCTGCGTATGCCTGTTTTGAAGAAACATAGCCCATATCTGCAGACAGCTTAATGGGCATCAGCTGAGCCCTGGTGGAGGAAGTCAGCCGGAACAGGTACCGAGAGCTCAGGAGAATCTGCTGCCTGCCAACAACCAGATTGGACTGAGTATGACCATGGCCTGGTGACCTGGTGACACCATTCTCAGGCTGCTGGTTGCCTGTGGGCTAGTGTTTTGGGACAGAGGAGGAGGAGGAGCCAGGGTCCCCACAGAAAGCTTGGCTTTCTGTGTTCTGGCTTAGATCTCAAGCCCAAGACCAGCAGTGCATCCCTCTACTTGCTCACTCTGCCACTTGTGCTTACTGAGAGCCTGCTATGTGTCAGCCTGTGAATGCTGGGCACCTCGCCACAGTTGAAATACCCAGTTCCTGCCCCACAGCTTCCAAGAGGCCATGTGCTGTTGGTGCTGGGAGCTGGGATGCCAGGGAAGACATCCTGAAGGAAGGGCTCATCTGAGCAGATACTGGGACAGGCCCAACTGGGCTGGCTCCTCTACTATACTGGCCATAATCCCAAGACCCAAGACCCTGCAGAGACTCAGGAACCATACAATAAATCCATGTAGCTGTGGCAGGACAGCCTGTTCTAGGGCTCTTTGTGTTCCTCTGTGCACCATGGTGCTGGCTCCTATTGGTTTTTAGAGCTTGTGCCCTTGACCTCTCCCTACTGATGACTTAGAAACTTTGGTCTTTTTCCCTGAACCAGGAGGGGGTCCAAGACAGAGGAGACCCTGCACCAACTCTGCTTCCAGCAATACCACTGTATTCTCCCAGACATCCTAGCAATGGTCTGGGCTGGTGAAAACAGAAGTGTAAGGGTAGAGGTACCTAGCTCACTGGCCAGTTTCTGGCCACAAATGATGCAGGGGCCTTAGTGAGGCCTTTCAGTAACTCTGGTGGAAAACCTGGAAGTACCCCCCGGCCCCTGGTGGCCAGCCCTACTGTCCCTAGGATGGGGTATCTGTGTGGGCTCTGGAGCCTGTGTGGTGCTGGGAGCACTGAGGGGTTAATGCAGCTCCATTTCTATCACCTTCCCTCCTGCTCTGAAGGAAGCCTGTGTTGAAATTATAGACATAAGAGCTGGCTTTTGAGGAGACTGCTGCTCACCCTGTCCCTGCCAGGCCTGGGCACAACCCTCTCACCCACGCCTGCCTGCCTTGGGCTCTGTCCTACATGCAGAGCCTCATTCAGAGGGGTGAAGGCCTCCTAGGGTACATTTTCTGGGCCCTCCCTACCCCAAGTCTGCCCTCCTCACCCCCCAGGGATTGAACTCAGTATACAATGGTACCCAAGGAGGAGGGGCTGAGGAAGTGACATCGCTTGGCCCGCCCCCACCTCCTTTTTCCCTATAAAAAGCAAAATGGTGACTCAGAGAAGAGAGTTGGAAGCGGCCTGCCTCCTGCTCCCACTGTTAATTTTTAGACGTGGAATTAGGCAGGAGGCAAAGGAAAAGCAGCTCCAAATACGCGGCTGACATGCTATTAGGCGGGTGGCAACAGCAGAGCCGCTCCTCCCCGACTCCCAGCAGCCTCTGACTGAGCAAGTAGAGCCTGTGCCTGCTGGCGCTCCCACCCCCTCCCCAGGCCTGGCTGTGCAGCCCCTGCCCTGGCCCAGGGTGCATGGTGCAGCCAGGACCATGGCAGCTGGGGGCCGCCGCCGGCGCCCACTACGCTACCAGTCCTTGGCAGCCCTGGTGGAAGACTCTCAGTGGCCTTTCTTGTTCCTTGTCTCAGATTTCAGCTACGGTGCTGAAGACTACGACGCAGAGGGGCATGAGGAGCAGAAGGGGCCCCCCGAGGGCTCGGAGACCATGCCATACATCGATGAATCACCCACCATGTCACCCCAGCTCAGCGCCCGCAGCCAGAGTGGTGGGGACAGCATCTCACCCACCCCACCTGAGGGACTGGCACCTGGGGTAGGTACTCCTGATTTCTCTTCCAGGGAGGGGAAATAGGACAGTATGGGTAAAGTGGGCTGGGGTCTGCTTAGACAATGTTGCCAGCAGGGCTGGGGGAAGGTGGACCTAGGGTCTTGATACCCTGTCATCTAGCTCTATCCTTGGCCCTCTGGAGCTCAGGCTCCTCTTCCTCTACCTGCTACTTTCTGCTACTCCTCACCTATCTCCCTCTTCTGCCTGCTGTCTTCTTTGCTACCCCCTGGGCACCCTCATTCTCCTTTCAGCCATCTCTCATAGTCTCTCAGCAGGATAGGGAGGGCATTCTGGAGAGATCAGGCTCTTTTGTCTGTACCTGGTTGGGCATGACTGCACCATGGCCTGAGGACAGTGAATGAGTGGCTACTAACCCCACAAAACCAAATCTGGCTCCGAGCTCCCTGTGGGGTAGAACATGCTGATTCTGTAGTGTTCCCCAGAACTGAGGGCCTTCACCTCTGCTCTTTTCTACAGGAAAGGAATAAAGCCTAGGATGTCCACCTCCCCTGCTGCTAGTAGAGGCAGGGGCTCTCCTCTCAGAAGCCTTTTGTAAGGAATATTAACTATGCTGTAACAGGGAAAGGAGATAGGAATGTGTGGAGGGTTGTAGTCCTTATAATTAATGCTGTTCCTGGTGACAGGGACTGACTCTGGACCCAGCTCATCTGCATACGCATCTGAAATACATAAGCAAGCAAGACAAAGATTCCCTGGGGCTCTTTCTGGAGTTGGGGAGGAGAATCAAAGCCATTTGCTTTGGTGGTGGGAGCTTAGCATCACAGGTCCTTTTGGTCCAGCTTGTCATAGTGATTTTTTTTGGGGGGGGGTCTCTTTCCTTTCTGAAGCCCCCCCAGGGTAATATCACTGAGATGCTATGCAATACATTTCCCCTCTCTAAGGCATAGCACCCCTACCCCAGCTGGAGGCTGCCTGGGCTCTACCATTCAGAAGAACCCCCAGCTCCTTCCCACCCTCTGTAGGCTCTCACCCCCTCTTCACACACCAGGGTGGCTGTTATAGCCTTTGGCAACAAGGGCCTTGGCAACCAGCTTCCCACTTAGAGGAAGCCACATTGTTGCCATGGCAACAGAGGCCGAGGCACAGCTCCTCGTGGCTGCCAGGCCATGCAAGTTTGGGAAGAGATGGTGAGGGGCAGATAGGAGCTAGAGGGGATGGGTGTGGGTTTGACCAGCTTCAGGCTTCCCCTAGCCAACATTCTATGATGTTGCCCTAAAGAGGGGCCTGGATAAGAGACAACCATTTTGGCCAAGCAGGGGCAAGGTGTTTGGACTGATGGAGGAGAGACTGTTCTAGGACCAGGACTCAGTCCAACCAAGGGAAGGAAGAGAGAACTTGAATTGCTCCCCATCTCTGCCTTCCAGTTGGAACCCCCTCAGAGGCTTAGCCCTTACCCACCATGAGCAGTACAGGATGATGCACTGTAGAATCTCAATGCAATGACTGGTGTATGCATTCTCTTCTCCCCTCTCTGCCTTTTGCCTCTTATCTACCTTCCCTTCCCTCCTCACAGCTACCTTGCTAGAGTATTCATCTGAGGATATTTAGATTTCCTGGTTGAAAAGTCCTGCCCATGCTCTTTTAAAAAGTCATATGCATGGCAGGGCCATGCTCCTGCCTGGCACTCTGAGTAGGTAGCAACTTCACTTTGTGGCCATTGTGCTTGATGATCAGAAGGGGATAACTTGATTGGAAGACTTTGTAATGTAGAGTATCTACAGAGCAACAGTCCAGTGAAGTACTTGGGGCCCAAGATCCTGCTTTCACACTGTTAGTTTAGAAGCCTCACTAGATAAGATGAGGAGCTTTGATGCCACTTGGGGACAATCCTAGAGCTTCAGGCTACTGTAGCCCTACCTGGAGCTGCCTTCTGCCCTTTCTGCTGCATTACTGGCCCCACCTAGTGGACGCTGCAAGTATTGCTCTTTGCCATGAGGGGCCTGAAAGGATTCCTCTCCTCTTTCCAGTATTTGGGGTGTTTAGGTTTTTTTAAATTTAAAAAAAAAGGAAAGGTTTTTGTTCCTTGGCTGTGCTCATCTGACCAGGCAGGCCCCTCCCCTGCCTGGCTTCCTGTTAGGAACTTGGGAACAGAGAGGACTTTTGGACCAAATCAGACAATTGTTCTAAGAAGTCAGATACCTTACTTTTGGCACAGGCTGGCAACTGAATTTTCCACACCCAAATAGACAGCCAAGTTGTACCTGGGAACTCAGGGTTTGGTCTATGTATTAAAGAAACACAACCCATATGGGGTGTGTGTGTGTGTGTGTGTGTGTGTGTGTGTGTGTGTTTACAATTTTATATATGTCTTTATATATAGAGACATTTATTAGAAGGCACTGACTCATGAGGGTATGGATGCTTGAAGCCAGGAGAGTTGATGTATAGTTTCAGTCCAAATCCAGAGGCCTGAAAATCAGGCAAGCTGATGTTGGAAATTTTATTCTGAACAGCCATTGTTTCTGTCTGTGTCCAAAGGCTGGAAACATTCAGTTTGCCAACTCTAGCAGGCACACAGGTGGGAGTCCCCCTTTCTTTTTTGTTTTTTTGAGCTTTCTGTTTCTGAAGCTGCCCTAAAATTAGCTTTATAGTCCAGACTGAAGCTCTTGACCCTTTTGCCTTGGCCTCCTGAGTGCTGGGTCACAGATATACCACCATACCTGGCTGGGAAGAGCCCTACTTTCTTGGCCCTTTTGGGGTCTACTCAGGTTTTCAGTAGACTGGATGAGGCTAAGCCAGCCCACACTGGGGAGGGCATCTGCTTTGCTCAGTCTGTAGATTTCAATATTAATGGCATCCTAAACTACCCCACAGACACCCAGAACAATGTTTAGACAAATTTCTGGGTATCCTGCAGCCCAGTCAAGTTAATGTGTAAAATGAATCATCATAGCTGTACCCTCAGCAGCCCAGAAAATGAAAAGGATGGAAGCTTTGGACAGTTGAAAACATGCTCTCTGACTGTCAGATACTGAACAGTGTCATAGTGTCATTATATCACTGAGCCTCAGTTTCTTTATATCTGAATAGCACTAACTACTCTGAAAGGAAATTGGGAGGGATGACTGGGGGTAGCACTGGATATCTGAAATCCCAGCACTTGGAAGCAAAGACAGGAAAATTATGGGTTCTAGGCCAGCCTGGGCTACATAGTGACATCCTTTCTCAAAACAAACAAACAAACAAACAAAAACAGGACTTTTTCTCATGAGCTTTTAGAGGGCTAGGACTGGGAGTATTGCAAGGACCCAGGCTGGTAAATACATAAATACATACTCAAGCAATGAGTCTGCTTTTGTAGGCCACCTCCTTTCTGGGTCTGTCCTCCAAGTGTGGTAGTCCCAGGTTCTTCAATACTGGCAAGACTCCTCACTCCCCAGCATCCCTTGCTTTGCTGCTTTCATCCTGGTTTGTGCCACAGAGGTATCAGATGAACCCCAAACTCTGTCCTGCAGACCTTTTCTAAGTCTAAGTTGAGGAGGACACCCTGGCACAGGGCAGATATCACTGGATAGTAGGTGGCTCAATTCAATCTGGAGTGCCCAGTGTCCCCTGGGAAAGAGGGTGAGGACACTCCAACTCAGTTGCAACTTTCTCAGAACCACAGTCATACAGAAAATCTCATTCCCTATAGGCCTTTAGACTCCTGCCTCCCCTCTGGGGTGGTACAGGCACAAGGGATCCCAAGGCAGAGAGAAGATCTGAGTTTTGTTCCTCTTTGTTTTGCAGCTCTAGGAATGTCACCTTCTCTGAACTCATTTATTCATCAGTAAATGGAAGATTTACTGAGAATTTTTTCCCTCCTGACTCAAAACAGCTGTTATACATCTGCTATGAGATGTGGAGGTTGGGGACGGGCAGAATGCCATGTACATTATAAAGTCTATATGGGTGCAGACCCCAGCTGACATAGGTGAAGTGACCGTCATTGCCGTTGCCCTCCCTGCCCCCTCCAGCTATTTAGAGACAAGGCTGAGCCTCTCACATAGGTTACCTCATTTAATGCCCATGACATCCCTGTACAGTATGTGCTCTGTCTTTTGTTAAAATTGGGGAAACTGAAGCTCAGTGAAATGACGTAATTTGCCAGAGACTACACAACCAGTGGGACCAGTGTTCCATTTCAGCTTGGGTTTTTGTGAAACTTAAGCCTATATGGTGATCCAGACCCCTCTCAGAACACTCTTCCTTAGTGAAACTGACAGCTCGGCTGGAGGTGTACACAATTCCTGGGGGTTGTGTCTGCCTTTGGAGACAAGGAGCACTATTCTTGATCACCCCTTTGTGCCCCACCTCCATCCTAAATAATTTCCAGGCACCTTTGGGTTCTTGACATGTATTTGGAATTGAATTGAGTAATTCTGTGGTGGCCAGGGAGGACAGGGAAGGCAAGAACAGGAACAAAGCTGAGCAGAATTGCTTCTTCCTCCTTTCCTTCTCAGGCTGAGGCTTGGGATTTGAGGCTGAGAGGGTTGCTTCCAAGTGAACAGAGGCTATGTGGAGAGCTTCAGAGTTTGCGTTCTACTGTGTTCTCTTCACACTGCATTCCTCACCTGGAGATGGGAGGCACCATGGCAGAGACAGGGATGGACTCATCTTGTCAGCTTCTTGGCTCAGCAGCCTTGCGCCTGTTTCTCCCCTTTCTGGATCTGCAGCAGAAAGGATATTCATTGTCTCATGCATGTCTGTGCTGTGCTGAGAGCCCAGGGGCTTCATTGCCCTTAGTGGAGCCCCCATTGTATGCATGAAAAAAAACTAGGACACTGGTGGTTTTGTGCTGTGTCCACGCTGGGAAGGACCCTCTTTTACACCCCACAGTGCCTTCCCTAATGTCATCCCTGATGGCTGTACTGGCCTGACTGACCCTGCTCTCACTCTCACATCTTCTCCGGTCTTCTCCATTCTCTGAATAGCCTGCTGGGACCACAGTTCATGAATATTTCTCACCTGCAAATAAGGCTACT